CTTTCCATACTTCAAATCTCTTGCAACAAGACCTGTAATTGTAGAGGTCAACTAAAGCAAAAGCCTTTGTAAGGTACAATCCCTAAGGATCCATTTGTCTTCAAGCTAAAAACTGCTAAAGACCATTTGTTTGCACTTAACTATTACAAATGATCAATCTTACCCTAAAGTTCATGTGTTTATGCAAGCAGCAAAAAAACATGCAATCTAAGCATGTTTTTGGTTTCAGTTTCTGGGAACTTTGGCATTGGAATGATGATGTTCGGTGTCGTCATCTGATCTGTTGCAGCGCTTCAAGAACGGGTGTAGAGTTTGTTGCTTGGAAGGGCTGCCGCGCTTCAAGAACGGGTCTAGAGTTTGTTGCTTGGAGGGGCTGTTTCTTGGTTTTGTTGGACTGCTGAGCACATTACTAGACGAAACCTCCAAAGCATTCTCTTGCCCATCAAGCATCTGTGTAGTAAATTGTTCACAAGTTTAGTCTCTCTCTAACACTTACAAAACACAGTCGAATAGCGTAAATTAAGGACAGTCTATTGCATTTGAAAATCACACATCTAAATCATCATGAATCACACAGCACTCCAGTAAATTGGGACTTTGACAGGATTCAGTAATGACAGTCAAAGCACTACTGCATATAATCATAGTAATGAATATGTAAAATGACACCAAGATCTTCTGTTTCTCCCCTGATGCCTTGACATAGAGAAAGAGAATACCTGTCCTAGATTCTCCAGCTTGGTCTGAACAACATCCCTATACAGAACGTGATCAAATTCAGGAGAATTCAATAAGGAAGAACCAGAAATTGAGGTAATTTATTCAACTTTCAACGGTAAATATGAATGAGAACTAACCAGATGATATCATCAACAGTGTCATTGGCTAGAAGGTAGTGTATGTTAACTGAAGAGACCTGAAGATATGAAACAAAAAGTCACAGAAAGAGTTTAAAAATGAATAGTGAGATGTAAGGGTGTAAATGAGACTCCATTAGATTCCATGACTCACTTGACCAATCCTATGTGCACGATCTTCTGCCTGTATCAGGTCACCTGGAGTCCATGCCAACTCCGCAAAGATAACAGTGCTTGCTGCTGTCAACGTTATCCCAACACCAGCAGCTCGTATGGATAGCTACAAAATCCATGTAAATAAAAAAAATATTAAGGACTAATCTTTTCTATAGATCGAAAGGACTAATTGAATTATCAAAAGCAACCTCCGTGAATGAATGACAAATTATATGTTTCAGGAGTATCAATAAAGAATATGAAGGATGTTGATGTATCCCAAGCCAGTAGCCTATGTCTACAAATCCACGAGGTACTTACCACCGCTGCCTTTATCTCATCTTTTTCCTGAAAGTCAGAAACTAAGGCTTGTCTAGAGGAGGCAGGAGTGCTTCCGTCGATCCGGATGCAGCCCACTTTCTTCTTCTGCAATTATTTTTGAAAATCGCATGAGACATTGAGAGGCTTTACAAAGCTTTTCTGAAAGTTAAATGCCTTACTTTAAGAAACTGGTGTAATGCCTCAAGCATGGACTGATGATGTGCAAATACAAGAAATTTGCAACCAGCCTGCATCACAACGCTCGAGGAGAAAGCACAGGAACAGGTATTAGACATGTATGATTTGTTATTTTAAAACAGCTTATCCTTAATAGCTATTACCTCAAGCACAGTTCCCAGATAATCAAGCACTGCTGGGATTTTGGCTTCGGCAGAATCAGTGTAGATCTAAGATACAGAACGAGGAGATATTACAAGAAACTGAATCACAAATCTTTTGGTTGTTAGTTGTGAAGAAATTCGGAAAATGCAAATGAGTACCTTGTTGATAAGATGCTTCTCCGTAAATTTAAGAGATTTAATGTCATCCTCCGATACGCAATCCTTAATTTTTGCCTTGACCACCTTCAACTGTAAAAGAGAGACCATTGCTTTTCTCAAAAATATTTTCTTCAAGGAAAGTAATTGCATGGATATTGAAAACTACACCATGTTACCTCATGAAACAAAGCATTGATTTGGTTCATATCCTTGTCCGCAAGATCTAGGAAGACCTGTTTAAACAATATCGTCAAATGCAATTGATAGCAAGCACGAAAAGAAATTACATTAGATGCATGGACATAAGAGAAAGAGTTACTACTAATAACCTGCTGCCTGCGCTTTGACGGAAGTTCAGACAAGACATCCTTTTTAAGTCTTCGAATCATCACTGTCGCCTTCATCAAATTGTGCAACTCTTCATGATTGCTTGCGCCTTGATATGTTCCAAAAAATCCCTGAAAAATTGAATAGCCAAAATATAAAATTTTGTGATAAGTAACTACCCTATGAAATTCTAGGCAGTTTCTCAATCTGCAGTGAACTTACGCCTTTGCAGTATCTGCCACCGTATTCATGAACATTTCTATACACATCTGGGTATAATGATTCCAGCTGCCAAGAATAAAAGATGAAGGATTTTTTAGTTAAATCAGATTACATCAAGAGATCCACACGCCCCTCACAAATTCAAAGAAATGGATGGATCACCTGTTTGAATAGCTCTATTGGTCTAGATAAAGCAGGGGTTCCACTAAGAAGGATTGCATATTGAGCTTTCTGAAACAAATGCACGAGGTATGATTTTAGTAGAATAAAAATAGCCATGAGAATATTACTCGTTAACAATGTGAAAAAAGTATTACAGCTGCACCAAAGAAACTGACTTTCCATTTTGGTCAGCAGATAACTTTAAACTAGATTGATCGGCAAAACGATGAGTGAATGATATATCAATATTACCTTTATCACTGGAAGGGTAGCAGTTGTCCTCTTTGCTTGAGCATTTTTAAGAAAATGTGACTCGTCTGCTATAACAACCTGCAAAGGACTGGTACATAGTCACATGCTTGAGACGAACACTAAATAGCCTAATTTGCAAGTTATAGAATGCAGAATAAATAGATACTTCCATTTTTGCATTCATCAACTTAGCTTCTTTTCATTAAATTCAAGAATTGCACTCTCATGTGCTTACTTGGTAACCAACGTCATTGTTATACATTAAGGTGTCAGGAACAATCTACAAAGCAAAGTCTAGTTAATCACCTGAAAGTCTAATGCCATTAGAAGTTTGTCCAGCTTAGTGACCACGTCATAGGAGATAATGTTGAAGACACCATCAAGATGGATTGTGCCCTTAGTATTAGAGGAAACTATAGTAAATCCGCACTTGTTTGATCCACCTGCTTGAGGTAAAACTACCTACTAAAGAATGACTTAGATGAGAGACCAAGTATAAAGAATGGATATATCCTAGCTACTAGACGTTAGACAAGCACGAAACTACATACAACTATATCTGATGGAGGTACATGCAGCCATTGGTGAATCATCTGCAAGAAAGCAACATAGTGAATCATATAATGTGTCACACACAAAGTCTAAGTAGAAATCAAATAAAGGATCATGAGCTTACTGTTGCCCAATGTAAACGTAATGAAGATGGTGCGATAATCAGAACTGGCCAAGATTTACGAACACATGTGGTCACAGCAATTGCCTGCACAGGCAATGGGCATGTGAATTAGATTGATGGATATACAATTACAAGTGTAGTCAATCACGACAAGATTCTATAAGTTAGTTTCTTGTTAGTTTTGCAAAGACTCATGCTTGATAGGAGAAACTTTATGATAAATCATAAATGTGTAACAATGTCAAAGATATCTACTTGACAAATGAAAATAGATATCTTCTCCAATGAAAGGGAGAGTAGGAATGAAAAGATATAATGAGGCATACGAAACAGGAAACCACTTGCCTGCAACGTTTTTCCAAGACCCATTTCATCTGCTAGGAGCACACGCCCACCGTGCTTCAAAATAAACCTTCAGAAACAAATCATGAGGCAAAGGAACCAGTTATCAGACAGCAGAAAGCCAAATAGGTTGCTACTCTTTTGGTAATAGAGAGTAATCTAGTTGACATACTCTATGCCTTCTCGCTGAAACGGAAGAAGCTTTGGCTCAATATCGCTTGGTATATTGTCATACAGATCTAGTAAAATTAGGAAAAGAGAAAGTAAGGAATAAAAATCCCAGAAAAGGCCCCAGGAAACGAATATATATATAATTTTAGTTAAGATCCCATCATTAATGTGTCTGAAGTAATGCATGACTTACGCCGTAGATCTGGAACTCTTGAGGCAGAAGCTATTGCACGTTGCACAAGAGGATCTAAGTTCTCTAACTAATAATTCAAAAGAAAATTAGATAGAGATGTATCTAAGAGACGTGTGACCTCTAGTTTAAGCTTAGCTTTCTGAGCCAGATTTATAGAATCAAGGTGGGTTACCTCAACTTTAACGCTGGAAATTTCTCGCAGAATGTTTTCTGCTGACGACAATGAAGAATGAGGAAAGATCCATAACCTGGATTTCCAAAAGAGAATAAACAATGTGTTACATGGCAAGGGTTACTTCTCTGCTTTTTTTTCCAGATCAAAGCACACATTGGAAATAATAAAGAAGCCGCAAGGCTGGCTAATTGTACGCAGCAGGCTCCAAGAACCCTGGTTCTATACAGAGTGAAACAAAATCACACAAGTGACACATGCATATGAATGAGTATAAAAGGAGAAACCTTTCTTTAGCATTCCAAATGGCTTTAGGGATTTTACGCACAGCATCCACTACCACCTATATAAAATTAAATAGCAAGTAAAGCGTCAAAGACGAACCTTTAAAGCATTTCCCCCCCCAACAAACAAAGACTTCTGATAAGTTACCTGGTTATAAGGGAACTTTGCTGCAAGATCTCCACTAGAATGAAGCAAAATTTTGACAGAGACCTTTTGCTCAGGTTCCTTGGAGCTACCATCTTT